ACAAATTATATATATATATATATATATATATATATATATATAAACAATAAATGCCGGGTTTTCTTTTTTGTTGAACGTGAACTGATCATCTCCTCCACATTAATACCAGTTTCAGCACAAAATAAACATAACTAAACATCTGAAGGTAAGTTAAAAGAAAGAGTACAACTTTACAATCCGTATAATCGCTCAATCAGTGTTTCAGCCGCGCAAACACGTCAAAATATAACGGGTTGAAAACGTAACGTCACATTTACCTCATTAGTCAGATAGAAAAATAAACTGGGGCATTTTGCTAAATACTGTATATGCACCATATAGCCTAACATATTGATTATCATTTTTTACTGTTCTTCAATGTTTAATTTAATAAATCCATCAAGTTTTTATGACAGCCACCATTTAAATGTTTATATATTTTTTTTAAAACGTATTGAAGTAGAAATATTATTACGTAATTGTAACTTTATTATTTAAAAAACTTCATCAAGTGTAATTTTTGCAGTTGTATAGCCTACAAATCAGTCAATTTTAACCTTCAATTTTATAGTAATGTAGTACCACTACCAACTGACTCTCATGTATATTTTACAGCATTAGTTAAGAGATTTTTTTTCCTTGAAAAAATTTGGCATGTACTGTACCTGATATATATCCAAAATAATTGAATTGGTAATCGAATCGAATCGTGAAATTTGTGTCAAAACTACGGTGGCCGAGAAGTGCAAAACAAATCACAATTCTGAAAACAAAATAACAAATTCCAGACAAACCGGAAAAGTTAGGTATAGTTTGAGACAACGCCATTGGTTTGGGATTACTCACCGCTGACTGGACGAGACATCTGCACCATATAGCCTAACATATTGATTATCATTTTTTACTGTTCTTCAATGTTTAATTTAATAAATCCATCAAGTTTTTATGACAGCCACCATTTAAATGTTTATATATTTTTTTTAAAACGTATTGAAGTAGAAATATTATTACGTAATTGTAACTTTATTATTTAAAAAACTTCATCAAGTGTAATTTTTGCAGTTGTATAGCCTACAAATCAGTCAATTTTAACCTTCAATTTTATAGTAATGTAGTACCACTACCAACTGACTCTCATGTATATTTTACAGCATTAGTTAAGAGATTTTTTTTCCTTGAAAAAATTTGGCATGTACTGTACCTGATATATATCCAAAATAATTGAATTGGTAATCGAATCGAATCGTGAAATTTGTGTCAAAACTACGGTGGCAGAGAAGTGCAAAACAAATCACAATTCTGAAAACAAAATAACAAATTCAGAAAACACAACAACAATTGGAAAACAAAATACAAGTCAGAAAACACAACGACAAATCCGAAAACAAATTAACAAGTCAGAAAACACAACGACAATTCAGACAAACCGGAAGAGGTAGGTATAGTTTGAGCGTGCCATTGGTTTGGGATTACTCACCGCTGACTGGACGAGACATCTGTCAATCAACGTATACAGGAAGAACCAATTTGGTATTTTGTTTTCAGAATTGTGATTTGTTTAGCACTTCTCGGTCACCGTACAAAACCCAGCCCTAACCTATTACTGACATGAAACAGGACCAACAGTTTTGACCCGAAGGAAGAACGCTGCAGTACACTTCCTGACCAGCAGGTTTCGCTGCTGCCTCAGAGTCTGAGGATGTGTCCACCTGAGTGAAGAAGCATCAGCACTGCTCATCTCTAGGGACATCACAAACACAACTCACTCACTCACTCACTCAGGGTTTACTGTGGGTGGAGAAACACACTTCCTCAGAACATGGACCTGACGGACTTCACGGGCGTTTAAGAGACGCTCGCGACCCGCGTTTGACCGTTCAGCCTGTTTTATAACCTTCGAGAGAGAGAGAGAGAGAGAGAGAGAGAGAAGCGCAGGTGAATTGCTGCATGAATCATGACCGCGCGGCGTCTGCTGCGCTCTCTTCACGTGACGCGCGTGTTGTTTTAGCTGACAAATAGCCGTGAAAACGTCCCGCAAAACATTACGATGAAGGACACTGGAGAATCAAAGGATCAGCAGCTGACAGTACGTTAAGTCCAGTGACTTATTATTTACCTGCACTTGTGTCTTGTAGAGTTTCCAGACTGTGTTCAGCCAAATATGTGTATGTGTTTATGTAGATTAGAGACTATGTTTACATATTTGTTTGCATGTGTCATCAAATATATAGCTTATATTCTAACAACATCTTGTAGTTGTAGACTTTGTTTCAACCAATAATAATAATAATTTATGTATGTTATATGGAGTATATACATTTATGCATTCTGATGCACTTGTGTAGAGTTACAGTGTGTGTATATACACACAGTATGTGTATTATGAGATATAGT